ATACATTTCCTTATAATTCTTTTATAAAATTTTGATCTTAGATCAGGATAACAGCTTCTTGATAAGTTTGAGTATTCTCGTTACCTGTTTGCTGGATAATGTACGGATATAATAGGGAGAATTTTCATGTTAATCACCTCTTGGAGTGAAAGGGTTTAAGGGGAATTAGATTCTAGTCAATCGTAGGGGACAAATGGTGAAAGAACATGAATGAACACCTCATTTTTTTTATCGCAAGTGAAGAAGTAAATAACCAGTGAGCTCGGAACTTACGCGCCCTTTTTCTGTTGGCAGCCAGCGGGTTGTTGATTCCTGAAAGCAGTATAAGTGACACCTATCTTATCACATTCATGAGGTCCGCTCGGTTTGTAGTTTACTTCATGTTTGTCTATTATCATGTAATCCGCTGGTCCGTCCTGCATGAAGAAATAGGTATTGATTAGTCTTATCATCCCGTCTGCATGACACTTATTAAACATCCGTTATGACTTATCAGCCCAGCTGCATTATATCAATGAGTGCGACAAGACCGACGGCTTAAAACGTGAAGAAACCTGCAAAAGAAAGATGGCAGTGGTCTCTTTTCACTCCTTTCAATCCTGCGAAAAATTTAATCGAAGTTCACGAGAAAGTTGGATGAACGACAGAGCACAAACTGCCTGATTGGCTTAGAAAAATGAATCGTGTTCACTGAGTCATTGGTCAAACACAGCTAAGCGAAGCTGTGATATGATTAGCGTTCATTTTTAGAGTTTGTGCTTTTAATGTTGTAATAAAAAGAGGTCATTGTGTTGGTTTATTCTGTCCTTCTGTCTCGATGGTCAGTATCGTAGATCCCTATAAAACATCGGTAAGATGGAACTGCGTGATTTAAAAACTGCAGCCCACTGGGAGGCACTATCATGAGTTGCGCGTGCGTGGGACCACTAGACTGATCAGCCGCGTATGGACCACCCGTGACCGCTGATAATCCTAGGTAGTTTGCGCTGATAGTGTTGTAAACTAAACAGACCAAGTTAGCAAATTATTCGCTAAATACAAATTAATTTGGAGAAAAACAGATGCCTAATTTCCTACCCTCAGCTGTGGATGCATCTTAGGGTCGATCTTATCGGTGACGTACGGAATGAGGAGGAACTTCTCAGTCAAGGTTGGAAACTGTCTGTGGGACTGGAACTCACCAATATAACTTGCAAGAAGCTGTAAGGAATACGAGACAATTTATCATTATTCAACATTTCACAGTTCAGTTAACCTGTTTCCTAGTTATAAAAGGAGTAACTTTAAATCCTCTTCATGCGAGTTTGGTATCTATAGGACTAAGGTGAAAGGTACTTTTCAGCTGATTAAGACTCACATAATCAAACTGCTGTCTTGACCTGACGTAACAGTTTCATTGTCACGAGATATACCTACCCTGCCATATTTCCCCCTTCCCCTCCGTACATGTGGTCCTATGACAATCTCCCCACCAGGGATCCACTTAGGTTTTGTCACATTCCCTTCCTTTGTGGTTATTTGATCAAAGGTTTTCACGTGAATGCCGAATTCCATTTCCCATCGCCCCAACTCGTTCACTGTGTACCTGCAACAAAAATGGCACAATACAGTTTACAACCGCTGCAACGTTTTCCATTAGTGCTTGGTCCATGCAGCCCTCATTCAAACCAATCAGGACCATAGTTAGCAGAGGGGACTGGTACCAGTTCCCTCTGCCAACTATGTCAGGACAGAGATGCTTCAGTTTTCCCGCGTAAACTTCTGAATGCATTTCAGGTTTTTCA